TGCCGCGGTATATATAGAGCATTCCTACTATATGCCAATAAACTTGCTCTGCAAAGCATAAGCTCCTGCACCCATCTTCAATACATGGGGTGCATGATTGTACAAACTGTGCAGAAATAATCACAATTCTTGGGCAGGTATCCAGCTGGACCTGTTGGGTGACTGTTGTGTGACCCATTGCCTGGTGACCAGATGAGCTACCAGATGGCAGCCAGACCTTATCAGCTGTCTGGTGGTTATACAACAGGGATGCTTCAGCCACCTGATCGCTCAGGTGGCTCATGGTTTAAGCACTGGTATGGACTCTACCTGGGTGAAAATTGGCGGTGTACGCTTCTATCATGGGTACTGCGGGACGACGGGCTACAAGAAGCTCAACAAGAAACGAAGACCTGGTGTCGGAGCTACCAACAGGGCCGCAGAAATCTGGGAGGAAAACATTGGACAGGTTGATGAGTCTGCCGATGGACGTGCTTGTGGAAGTGAGTATAAGTGTAATTATCTACATCCTGCTAGAGGTGACACTCTTGTACATCAGAGAAAAATGACTTTGCTACATAGTATTACGAAGCCAGTGTAGAAGTCGAAGCAGTCAGAGAATGGTCCCCCTTTCAGTAGCAAGCACCAAACACGTCCCTGCTCTGGAAGCACTCTCGTAGTAACCACTAGTCTCAGGAGCACTCTCGTAGCAACTCTGAGGTATAACTGTAGCTTGCCCCATATAAGCAATATTGCACCTGGTATTGTAGTATTGATAACCAATCACCCATCTCATTATACAAGTATCATCAGAGCATTAATATTGAATAGCATATTAACTATTTTACAGGGCTGTATTTACACAGAATGTCTTGTACTACCACTTGAATGAGCATGGGCAAACATTACATTAGTATGTATCACCTTGGGCACACAGCTGGATGTGGCACACTGAGGTAGCGCACAAAGACGGCGCCGGGCTGCGGTACTCCGGGGAAGAGCGCCGCGGGCAACACAAAGTTGGTGCCAGCAGCGGACACGTTCATGTGGTTGAAGAGCGCAAGTGCACGCACATGCACCATCACCTGATCGTAGACGGTGCAGCCACATACGCGGCGCTGTAGTTGCTTTGCGAGCTGTCTATGCCAAGGTCAAGGACGTGGCTCCCATTCGCGCTCACAAGCGCCCCCGCTACAGCAAGCACCGCATAGAAATTCATATTCGTGTTTGCGCTACCCACACTCGCACCGCACGCGACACCCGCCAGCAGCTTGAGCAGGTTGTACAATATGCCCAGCTTGTGTGTGTGCAGGTACGCACCTGAATAGCCAACGCTTGCCATCTGCAGCGCACAATCCACCATCCAGAGGCTGACAGCAAGCTTGTTGGACCCAGGGACCCCACCACAAGAGGCGGAATCAAACTCGTCCATCAGTAGGGGCTGCGCTGGTTGGACGGCGTCGAGATGATGGCCTGGAAGTCCAAGTGCCGACCTCGGTGAGCCTTTGTACACAGTACCTGTGCGAGCCGTGCTTACCACTTGCTCTCTGTCACTCACGGGCCCATCTTCACCGCTTAATGATACACCACTGAGCCTCTCGCTGGTATTCATGCTTGCTGTTCAATGACGGGCGCACCCACGTGTCTCTCGAGCAGCCGCACAGGATGCCAGTCATTGCGCCTGCCAGTGTTGCTCAGTTAATCACTAAGATTACTAGTTAAAGGTTGACTATTGTGACTAGTTAATGGCTAGTTAAATAGTTATCGCCTGACGATGACTGGGTGGTGCTCTGGGTCTCTCCACGTGATTTACCGAATGCGCCATGCCGCCCGCATGTCTGCCTTCTGAATGCTTGCTGCAGCCTCACCAGGCCTTCGAGACTTGCACGTGTTCTTGTGTACATAGCCTGTGAGGTGGAATACATCATTTTTGACAATCCCACTTCGCTCTGAACGTCTCCCACCACTCCGAGCTCGATGAACCACATCGAGAATGTCAGAGGGAAGTCCAGCTGGTGGAGAAGGCACTTTCTCGACCATCCACTAAGGTCGATGAAGCACCCATCAGCATATGCGAATCCGGGTGCGCCTACCTCTGACAAGTTCAAGGTCATCTGTTGTGCCTGCTACACTTCCGCCCTTAATCAGGCAAAGCGGACTGATCCTCATCTCAATCAGTCAGCTTTCAACGATCAACGTGAGTACTATTTATTGGCCGTGATTGTTGTAATAAGCAGCTGCTAATATCTCACCAGTATGGAGTCAGTCAAAGGCAGATGCAGATTGTATCTGGATCTCCTCTGCAAAGCCAACAATAATAAATCACCTCATCCATTGCAAGCGTGGGGTGCTGCCTGAGGTCAAAGAACAAGCAATCACAGAGAAGATGAAGAAAGATTCAGCCGCCAACAGAGGGGAGGAGGCTTATGAGTACATGGAAGCTCCCATGGCAGGTCCGTCGAGTAGTTTCGGCTTCGATCCTGCTGCTGCCACACCACAGTACTATCCGCCATCAGTCCAGCCTGAGCCTACAGCCTATCCCATGGCACCAGGACTTCAGCAATCATTCTCGCTCCATGCAGGCTTTCACGGGGCACTTCCTTCACCTCTCATAGGCAGCTCGGCAGGTAAGTGAAAGAGAATGATGGCATCTGGTGCCTTTCGTCTAAGCTGACCCATGCAGATCGCACTATGTCACCTATTCCTCTAGAATTCCAACAGCTTCTGGCCACCGTGACTCCCTCCTCTTACTCTCCGTTGCCCAGCCCAACTATAACGTCATCGTCATTTGGCCAGGGTTTATCCCTGCCAAATGTTTACGTTCCTCTGCTCAGGCGTGGCGCTAGCCGACGCCCCATTTCTATGCCGCCGAGACTCACAGCTTCACACTGGACGGACAGCTGCCAAGAGCGCTTTGAAATGCTCATCACCCGCTTGACGGCTTCAGCAAATCTTCCCCACCGCTGGGTTGAGAATCCTGAGTGGGTGACACTTGTTGCCAAATTTATTCCAGGCGCGAAGCTTTTCTCACGAAATAAACTAACAAAGACTCTCATTCCACAAGAGCTCGAGCGAGTTCAGGGCTTGGCACAGAAGAACTTGAAGGACCTGAAGGTTGCGGAAGGGACTTTCCAACTGGACGGCTGGACAGGAGGCAACTACCATCACTTCCTAGGGTTCATGTTCATGGCCAGATCGAAGGTATGACATATGCAGGCTTGCAGAAATTTATTCTCAATTATCTCCTATGTATTTCAGGTCTTTGCAGCTGGACTCAAGGATACATTGTGCGAAAGGAAGACTGCAGAAAAATTACTCACACATGTGCGGGCCGAGTTTGCTCGCACGGAGGAGACATGGAACATCAAACTTGTTGCCCTCGTTTCGGACAACAGCAGCGAGTCACTAGCGATGCGGAAGGCCTTGCGACTTGAAAGGCCAGATCTTATCATCATGCAGTGCTACACTCATTAGATCAACCTTGTAGTTGGCAACTATTTCAAGAAGTCTGGTGCAAAATTTCTCGAAGCGTCTGCTGAGGCCGACCAAGTGATCAAGTGGCTCCGCAGCAAGACCCAAGTCCTTGCAATACTTCGCAAGGTTCAGGAGGAGCAAGGCGTCTCGTCTCCTCTAACTGTTATTCGCGCTGTTCTTACTCGCTGGACCTCTCATTACCTTGCTTATTGGCGTCTTCTTGACCTCAAGAACTGGATCACACAGGTTATCCCCCAGGATAGAGGGCGCGTCGAGGCCAGACAAGAGAGTCAGCTGGTCACAGGCGATAGGGAAGCAAAGGAGAAGGCAAAGGAGACTCTTGCGATCATTGATAAGGCTATTTTTTGGCACCGACTCGCACGGTACGTTGCAATCGAGCTTTGCTAACAATGGCGTAGCAATAATCTTTGTAACCTGCAGCATTAAGGTACATCTCATGCCGCTTGCGCTAGCTGCCAACATTCTCCAGTCCACATCGAGTCGACTCGATCACGTCGCCCTGGTGTTCGGCACATTGTTTCTTCGATTTACTAATCTTGCTGAAGACAAGGACGCTGATGCCAATGAAGAAGAGATCTGCCAGGCTGTATGCAACAGTCTCAATAAGCGATGGCTGGACAGTGATCAAGGCGTCCTTGTAGCAGCGGTCATTCTTAATCCACATACTCGAGCAGCGCCACTTAAGAGCTTCCGGCACGCAGACGTCATAACGCTACTCGCCCGCATTTGGAAGCGTCTGTTTTCATCAGATACTGTCCCGCCCGCGTTCTACAATGAGGTGAAGGAGTACATCTCAGACACCGGCACCTACGCAGACATGCCAAACCTTGCTGCGTCACTCCGAAACCCTGATGATCCGGACGTGAATGTGCTTGTCTCAATTCTGACAAATGCTAATCACGCATTATCAGCATTCCGCTGCACCTCTTGAAGTCTGGAAGCTCTTCATGACAGCCAGTGGCCCGGTCTCTCCTCTGCAGCGGCTTGCCGAACGCATTTTCTCTGTTTGCCCTAACATTGCCCCCGTCAAATGCTTCTTCAGCCTGTTGAAGTGAATTATGACCCTCTCCCGCTCACGTCTCACCGGTACGAATCTCATGAACTCCACAGAGCTCAGTCTGCACATTATGCAAGAATATGAGTCTGGTGGCGCTTTGGCAACGTGCCTCCAGCGGCGTGAGCGACACTTCATCGACTGCGCAGCAGCACCGCCACCTACTATTACCCCAACTGTACATGTGCCCCTGGCAAATGTACCGATCGCTGCATCTGTCACATTGTTAGCAGCGGGTTCTGCGTTCTCTGGCACTGCCTCTGCGTCTGGCCCGAGCTTAGTATTTCAGCCTGGTGCTAGCTCACCTGGCCCCATCACAGTCCCCATGACTGG